TATGTTCCTTTATACGAACATATTACTGAAGGGCAGGCGCAGTCCATAGGCTCTTAATATTAGAACTTACCAAAGCTTATCATTTTATTTTTAATTTAGCTTAGCCGACTAGCAAAAACATATCCAATGTCCAGCCCCTATAATAGGTACTATTTTCAATAAACGGATATATGTGGAGACATGAGGACATAATATGGCAAAAATACAAAAGTTTACGCATTTAAAACAAAATCATGGACAATTGAAAAACTGAACATAATTATTCTGAGGAGATCAATTAAAGTAGAGTTTGCACTAGTTCATTAGTTCCTCTTTATATCGGCTTTTTCCATCAATCAATTTTTGTTCTTGGTTTGTTTTAGTATTCATCCCTATTTTTTATGACCTTTTCTTTTGTTAAATAATTAAACTTAAATTCAATACGATCATAACTCGAGGGCAAGACTCTTTTATACCTTGTACCAGCCCCTTTGTCACAATCCATTAAATGCGATAAAATGTGTTCCACCAAGCATCAAGCCTAGAGCTAAATATAAGTTATAGTGATCCGATTTGAATAAAATTTCTGAAAATAGGGAGCCATTATAAATTATATTTATATAAATTATTATAAATTAACGAAGCCTTTTGACTTCACTTTTTTGTACTTCCTGCGCGGCATTGCCATACAGACGAAAGACATATGTAAAGGCAACCCAGCAACGAGACATTTTGAGTTGGCAGCGCTGTCAAGTTTTTCCTTGTGGAACCGTTTCTTGTCACCCTAAGAACTAGCTCCAATTGGACGCTCGTACAGCTGATTTTGCTGTCAAATTTGACGAGACTGTCCGAAACTGTTCCGTCATTCTGAGCACAAGTCCGACATACATTCCCAAACCCAGCAGAAAGCCACAAAATTTAAGGACATTAATTAACGCGTAAGTACCAATTCTTAGACTTAGTGTAAGGCTGGCCGCAGAAGCAACACCAAAGTGTCAACCAAGCAGCTTTAACTTGGACACACATTCAGACACATTGCCGGCAATTAGAAGCCGTAGCCAGCAACCAGAACTAGAATAGCATGGCAGTTGGGCATGGCACGACATGGCTGGGCAGCTCGCTCACAAATGATTATTTTAAAGTGGCAGCTGCGACCCTTCCTCGCCGCTTGAGAAGATGGGTTCTGGCGCTCCGTCGCAGCCTCATTTTCTGCCTCTGTTGCTGTCGTCTTTTGCCGTCGTCATCGCCGTAGCTGGCATTTCGTGTCCTGTTTGCTGTCGTGGTAATTGCTTTTAGTGGAAATGTGGCAACACAGCTGACTGGTCAGGCACTTGGCATCTCGAGCGCGCCTTTAAGCCATTCATGCGTACCAGCTGCACAACTTTCTCCCCCACTTCCTTCCCTTCCCAGTCGGTCGCATCCCTTCCCCCACTCTAGGTGTGGTAACTCTTTGGTTGTGCATACGACGTGTACACATAATTTTATTCATTCCATGCCCGCCGTCCCGATTTCGTTTGTCCAACAATAACAAGAACAACAACAGCAACACTCACAATGACAACGGGATAATGGCACCATTAAAATGTTAATGGCCGCAACTTACCGCAAAATACGAGAATGCATTAATTCATTGCGTTGACGCCGCCGTTAAGAGCAGAGCGGGTTAGGGCTTTGGTACACTGAGCGAACAGCATGGTGCTGTAGTCACAACATTTATATCCTGATCACGATTCAGGCTGTATTAAAGTACCTGATATTTTCAAAGTTTACGAATCTAATATTAGCTTCAACCTCTACAATGGTTCTTCAACCGAATTGTTATACCCAGTACCCAAAGGGTAAAAGAGTATATTAGTTTTGTGCGAGTGTACATGTAACACACAGAAGGAGGCATGGCAGCTGAGTCGATATAGCCGTGTCCGTCTGTCTGTCCGTCTGTCTGTCTGTCCGTCGGTCTGTATGAACGCAAGGATCTCCGAAAGTATAAGAGCTAGAATAACCAAACTTGGTATCTAGATTCTCCTGAGCCCGAGAAAGGACGAGTTTGTTCATTTTTTCTGATCAATCAATCATAGATATTAATACTAACACATAAACAGTGCCAGTACTCTCTTTATATAGTTATTAGCAAATCTGAACGGCAAATCAGGTGATGAGCTGCTATGTTAGCCCCTAATTGAACATTTAAAATTAATTAGATTAAATCATGACGTCTGCAAATCGCTTGCGGTGCAACCATACCAACGATTCATATTTTCCGCCATTTATTGGCGACCCCATTGACGACATATTCAGGAAGATGTGGCGACGCCATGATTTTGGACCAAATGCACCCATACAGCCCTGCTTATACACAGAACCTGACAAGGACATCCTTCAGACGCGTCACGAAGCCTTTGAAGAGGGCGAGCGTCGCGACTCAATGCATTGTTCGCGATCCGTACAGCCAATGGATAACATCGTGATGTCCAGCAATTGTGACTTTTCCTTCTGGATTCGTATCTACAAGATACCCTTCCAATACTACAATAGGGTGTACAGCTATTTTGCCAATTTGGGTGCCATCGGCAATCGGCGTATCTGCGATAGTCAGGCGATCTGTTTGCGCTATCTGAGTCCGCTAGACAGCCACATAGCGCTGACATATGACGAGCGACCGATCTCTGTTGGCGGCCATATGGTATGCGTGCGGATCGAGCGCGTCAGCTCAAATGATATCATACGCATGGATCGAGTTGTGGTGAACAGTCTACGTAATTTGTATTATAGATACAATATTTGCGACTCTCTCGAAGAAAAGAACACTAACAGGGACAAGTTACTGGACCGCCTGTTCCTCTGGATTGGCCGAAAAATGCTTTCTCTATTTTTTATCGGGTCGGCGACAGAGGACGTCGAATATAGCTAGATCAGGAGCACCACATCAGCACTGCTTGTGGAGTATTTGTAATATTCAAATATACAGAAGTAAGCAAACGAGTTTTTAATTAAAATGTTGTCCTCTTTTTTTTCCTTCATTAACAGTCTATTTAAAACTTTTCTTAAGGAAACAATTATTGTGGAAAGGGTGATCAATTCAAGCAGATTTCTGGCATTTCTAACATACATACTCTATTATATCCTAATTACCATCAGCAATTCTACAATTTCTTGTTAAATTTTGAACCAGCGAACATACACGGAATGGAAAGGTACTCGAAAGGAGGGGGGAAAGGCGCATAGGAGTCCCAAAAAGGAGAATATGGCAACATCACTGGGACAGCACACAACAACTTCTGGACATAATTGCCTGATTTTGAGAGGTTAAAATATTAAATATTGGAGACGAGAGAGAACAAGACTGCCACTAAAGAGCCTACCATTACACAGTTAATCATAAAGAAGACAGAATAAACGCAGAGAATAAACGCAAATTACATTTGAAGGCTAATAAGGCAATAGACAAAAAAATAAATAAAATTGTGTATTGTATTTCTTTATTTGCTTGGTTGATGAAAAAATAAGAAAATAAGAAACGAGAAAAGAGAAAACATGTTAAATATTTAGTTTAAATTATTCAGCACCTCGCAGACACAACATCAAGGATAATCAGTAGGTTTGACTTATTTTGAATCTCGTTTATTGCATTTTTTACAGCCGGCTCTTAACTAATTTGAAGCCTTGCGCACTTCTGGTTAATGCGGTTTTCAGCATGATTGATCTTTCCATAACTGTTATTTGAAGATCCTTTGTTTAATTTCAGCAATAATATAGAGAAATACATCCCCAGCTCTAGGTTTACTATAAATATTCAAATAAATAGTGCACGAAAAGGCAATGTTGCTGACATAGCTGTCATAGCTAAGTTGGCCCCAAACCAAATAAATAAATCTATTTTTTATCTGAAACAGTTTGAGATGAGTGAGCAGAATGTCTATCCCGACGCCCCAGATTTCTTACCGCCATTTTTGGGGGGGCCTATAGGCCTTTATGAGCGATCGAAAACATCTCTACCATTGGCTCTGGAGAAGAGAACTGATTTGGAAATTGTTCGTGAGGCTTGCCGCAGATATAGCTTTGGTAAGCGATACCAGCCGAAGTGGAAGCCGCGGCTTATACGACCAGCGGAAAACATTCTGATACCGAGGGAGGCCGATCATACGTTCTGGATAGCCATATCTAATATACCCCCGGGTACCGTCTACGAGGTATACAACTTCATGCTAGACATAGGACCAGTGGCTGATCGGCGTTTTTATCCGGATGACAAGATCTGTCTGCGCTATATAAGTCCGCTGCACAGCAACATAGTGCTCTCGTATAATGGAAGACCGATCTATATCGGCGGGCAAGAGGTGCGCGTGCGCATCGAACGTGTGGCGCGACTCGACATAGTGAAGCTGGATGAAGGATCGACCATCGGTGATGGCAGCCACTCAGAAGCACGTGAGCAGATATTTAGAATAAAGGTGGGCAAGGTTCCCATGAGATACAGTCTAGAAGAGCTTTACGAACAGCGACCCCTCTTGCGATTGCTGCTCTGGATTGGAGCGAAAATAGCTCAACTGTGGAGCCTCTGGACTGGCGAGAACCAGGATGACCACCAAAATGAGGACCAGGACGAGATAGACTATAATGAATCGAGACATTAGATGACCTTTTAAATTTCTCCCGCCCCACTTTATTTATTTTGAAAAGAAGGAGAATGTTTTGAAATCGAACAGTTATAAGTATTCGAATTTAGGTGTGGAATGTCCAGAGATTTGCGAAAATATATATATATATACTCACTTGTGATTTATTCCTCAACCGATTTCAAACAACTTTAAATGCCTTTTTGTTTTGTTATTGTTATTTATTTGTTTATAACCTCAGGAAGTTCAATTGAAACATCAATAGTCTAACGTTTAATGTTAATTATGTAAAAAAAATTTGACAAAAAAATTTCCGAGACCCCATGACATGCACCATGTCATGCAGGCAGCAACATGTACATATTTACACGTGGCCGGCACCCGCCGCCATTTCAGCAATCTGTTCCATCAGAGGCGTGGTCCATCTGTGGCGCTATTCGTGTGCACCACCGAGTTGCCGGCGCCAATAGATAGACTCACCATCTCGTGCCGGGAACGAGAGCGCCACGTGCCAGTACCACAACCACCGCCTCCACCACCCCCACCACCTGCACCTCCACCGGCAGTATATGCAGCATGACTGGCACCGCTGCGACCGGCGCCATGCCAGGGTAAGCCCTTGAAGGTGTCCACAAAGGCTCGCCGGAAGCTGGCGTTCATGAAACAATAGGTTATGGGATTGCAGCAGCTCGAGGAGTAGGCCAACAGCTGCAGGTAGCTGATGGAGGTGTAATCGATGTACTCGTAGAGTGCCGGCCCAATAAACATGCCCAGCGTATTGATCACATACAGGGGCGTCCAACACAGAAAGAACTCCAACACTAGTACGAAGAGCATTTTCACAACACGTTTCTTGCTTTCCAGAGTCTTGGCCTCATTTGACCTGCAATCCATAAGAATAGATGTGCTTTGTGTGTAGAAAGAGAGAGAGAGAGGCCACCAAACCAATCAAGAGTCTCAACACAAAATTTAAATTCATTCCAGAAACCAAACTATAAAATAATTAATTTAAAATAATCAAGTATACAAGTACTATAGTATATAGAAACTTTCCCAACAGCAAAAGGAGAGAATATAAAAAACTATCCGGTTAAAATCAAAACAACTTGGGCTAGTTAGTTTTATGATTTGATTTTTTTAAAGCGAAGAAAATGAAATACTGCCTCAAATTATTTAAAGAACTAAGCACTTTGGTGCAAATAATAAAGCAGAAAATATATATTCTCCGCTTTCCATAAATCGTATGAATTTTAAAGTAAAGTAAAGTAAAGCACACAACGTTCAGATGGATCAGAATGTGGATGGCACAGGAAGCAAATAATGGTGATACAAATCGCAACAAATTCTCGATTTTGTGGGTAAAAATATAGTAAATAATTTCGTACCTTCGCAAAGCCGCATCATGCACGCGTAGACTGGGCGATGTCTTGGCCAATGCCACCGTTGTCTGTGTCGCCTGTGTGGGCGTCGTTGTTGTTGTCGTTGTAGTTGTATTTGCAGCACTCGTTGTAGCGCCATTGTTGTTGTCGCTAGCCTTTTCTGCAGGACAATAATGTAGGAGGAAAAGTGTCAGTTGGGAAACTATAAAAATGCACACCAACTGGACTTACCACCGTAATCTGTTGCACTGCCCACAACCAGTATGCAGCTTGCCCCCCCTCCCCCACCAGCTCCCATGCCAGCTGCGACACTGCAAGCAGCCTGTGTGCTGTTGGCCTGGTCACTTGTGTTGGCCTCATTGTGGCGAGCCAGCAGCTGCAAACCAGCGAAGCCACCACCGCCGATGCCGCCGATGCCGCCGATGGCATCATCGGTGCCAAAAGATTTGGTGGCGCCACTCTTGCTGGCCATGCCCACATAGAGTGTTCGCGTGATTAAAATGTAGGCCACACAGAGCACCATCAGCGGCAACACCAGCAAAATTAGGTCCAGCAATATGTTGTAGAAGCGCTCGTACCCCTGATCCGGCCACTGTTCGCGACACTTGCAATAGCCTGGACAAAGATAAATAGCCTTATTGCCGTTAAATCGACTGGACAATGCTGCTCGGATCTTATCGTAAATATTTATTGAAAACTAAGCACAATCTCATCTCGATGGAATGATGTAACAAGAAATCATACACATAGAAAAATTGCAATGAACATATACAATATATCTATGTAAAATGTTATATCCTTAGTTGATCTTGTCTTTGAAAAAATTAGAGTGTATATTCAAAAAGCCAATGTAAAATCTGCAGCTTGTGACAATTTCTTTAAAGCTGCAATCAATCTTCTAAACGCCAAGTAGCTTGATATGTCAATTTAAGACTCCTATAGATAAGAAACTGGATTTAAGCATATGTTCTTAGCCCTGTAACCAACTATGCTTGCTTAGCTAACAAATGTATAGAGAATTTTGATATTCTTTTCCACCAACATTAAAAATATTTGTCGTTATTGTAAACCTACAAGCACACACACACACCGTACTAGTCGATGCCACATAGAAAATCGTATTAAATGGATTGCGAACACAGGGCTTTAAGTGGCAGCCATTCACTTACCTGGTCGACTTGTTGGTATCAATTGACTGAATACCGCAATGGGTGTCATGCACAAAATACCACCGAGCCAAATAAAGCCGATTATCTTGTATGCATGGCTTATAGTCTGCCAGGAACGCGAGCGCAGCGGGTGGCATATGGCATAATAGCGTTCACATGAGATGGCAACCAATGTCCAGGAAGAAACGGCGACGGATGCAGCTGAAATGAAAGAGAGATAGAGAGAGAGAGAGAGAAATGGGGAGATGCAATAAAATCAAATATACAATCAAAGGGTCAAATCTGCGACCAGTTGCATGCTGCAGGCATTTGGAGCAATATGCCAGCGAAATGTGCGCAAATGAAAAACTATTCATAATCTGTCAGTTATGTTCTCACAATTTTCGTCATTTTTTTCACCACCCCAGCCAAACAGGCGACAAATTCGAGTAAAGCTGTATTTTCACATTTTCCGAAGCAAATGTTGCCATAAATTGTTCGCTGGAATGATAGGTTTGGGTTTTTTTTTTGCATCTTTTTTAATATCTCTGCAAAAATTTGATTCTTTTCACGTATACTCGTGAAAATTTTCAATTTATTTTTGCTCTTGGTTGACATCTTGCTTCTATCTGAGACCTATTTGCATTTTATTTGGAAAAATACTGGAAATTATGACACAATTTTATATTTCTTTTTCAAGCCATGCACAACATACGAGTATAGTACATGTGTACAAATTGTATTACAGCTAATTTTATTTTATTAGTACAGGTCAAACCAGATCTCACGAAAGGGACTATATTTCGCGTTTCTTCAAAGGTAGCAGTTACAAAAAAGACACATTCTACCTTCTAATACAAGTGTCCAATGTAAATGTCACTTTCTTAATTCATATTCTTAGCTAAAATGATTAATTTATCAATGTTAAATTTGTATAATACAGCATTGTTTTCCGTATACAACTATTATTATATTATGAGTAGTACTACTATAAATAATAGTTATAACAGGCAGGTTTAAAATAATGTGATTACTTTATTACTATATTGGACGCCAGGGACAGAAAATAGTATATTGTTTCAGCATATTCCTGAAGTGAAATTCATATAAATATATATGTACATACATACTGAATGTACTTTAAATGTTTAGTCTTTGTGTAACTCTTCTAATGCCGTCTGCTAATTCAACGTTTTATGGTGTTTGCCAATTTAATAAATTTAATTTTATTGTATTTTGATATCCTTGAAATGTGAGATCTTAAAGCTTAAGTGTTTGTCATTTTCCAGATTCCCAAATTTCGACTTATTTACGATGTTCAGACAAAAATAGGCATACATCAGACGTCAATCGAAGCGGGAAAAAAGTGTTGCATACTTATGAGCGTGTAATAAAAATTCTTCTGCTTGTGAATGAAATTCGCTGCTTAAAGTTTTGGGGGTGTGTGTGTGTGTGTGTGTGTGTGTGTGTGTCCCTGTACGTGTGTGTGGGCGTCAGCTTTAACTTTAGCTCAAGCACACGCATCACGCACGCACACACATACGTCAGCCATATGTCATACGTAGAGCTTGCCGTGTGCGTTTGTATTGGTTAGCCAAACAAATTTTGTGGTCTTTGCGCGGCTTTATTTGCCATTGCCTTTTTAGAGTTGGTGCTGCTGATGCCGATGCCGGTGCCGATGTCGCTGACTTTGGCTTTGGTTTGTCTCTTGTCGCCGCCTACGTGGAATCGTAGCCATCGTAGCAGTCGCCATCGCCGTCGACGTCGACGTCGCCTGCGTATTTGCGGCAATCAAATTTTATCGCCCAACTGACGCTTATAAATTTGGCCCTGTCACAAACGTTGGCAGTACAGCAATGGCAATGGCAATGGCAATGGAAATGGCTATAACAATGTCTATGGCGTTGCCAGCTTCTGCTCCTCATTGGCAATACCATCGCATATTTATGCTGGGATTTGCCGGCTATGCGCATGTGTCTGTCGGTCTGACTTTTGCTTCGACCGTCCGCGCGTTGGAATCTGCTTAACACGTCAGCCCTGTTGATACACGCACACGCACACACACACACTCACATACACACATAAATATTGGTCAAGGGGAAGGTGGTAGGTGGATGGGTGAAGAGATTTTAGGTACACTAAAACAAAAAATATTGCTACCGGAAATCAATAAAAATTGATTAATGTGGTACTCTCTTTAATTCACTCGTGTATTTACTTATTTATTAAAATGGCTGTCAATGTAAAAAACATTGTAAAACAAACATAAAAGAGCCATGTTATGCCCGCTTCCACTGATTGGTGAACGGCTACTTTCCATTACGATCCAATTCGCAGTCATAAATAAAAGGTACAGGAAAATAAACAAATGCCATTAATAAAAAAGGAAAATACTATCAAGATACATAAAATCACGCAATAGAAAAAGCGAGTGAGGTCTAGTATTTGGTTGACTCAATCACAGAGGAAAAAACTTTGCACACAAATGAGAAAGTTCAGTCTTTTTCTGGCTATAATAAATGTGTGTTTCTGCATTGAGAATCATCCGCGAATCACAAGAATTTTGTGAATGCAGTACATTTGGCGATGAGCTATTTAACTGAACTCATTGGGTTAATTATATTTAATCAGTGATATATCTAAATAAAATGTAGTGAAAGCAACTAGCAGACGTGGAATTTGTTTAAATCTATTTTTCTATTCGTCTATTTAGGTCTAACTATAAAGACATCTGTTCTCTCAGTGCACTATGCCATGGGTTGACAGGATTAACTGACTTCCCCCTTTAAATCAAATTCAATCAATGCCGCGGGAAACATGCAATTGAATTTTAATTTCTCATCACTTTCTTTGTTGTCAGCTTACGATGGTTGATCGAATGAAATATTACACACATACATTACACCCACCCACATAGATGCCAAGTATGTCAACAAATTGTGTTTGTGTTTTGAAAACGATTTAGTTCCCCTTGCTATTGTTGCTGCTGTTTTTGCTGTTCAATCAAGCTGCTTAAACAGCGCAACATATACACGCAGCATATGCACACAGAGACAATGTTTACGTTTCAATATACACACATATAAGTATGTAAGCATATATTGGACATTCAGGCATTAGACTGCATGCGCTTAAAAGTATGCAACACTTTTTAAAGTTAATGCAGTGTCGAAATGCAAAAAGAAACACAGACATTGCCATACACGACGAGTATAAGTATATCTATACACTCTTATCGATGGATATGTAACTATACGTATGTGCCGGAGGAAGTGCTGTAATTCTTAATTTCCCGTCGACATTTGAGAGGTCGCGCAGTGCCGCTCTCGGTCTCCGGCTCAGACTCGGGCTCGGGCTCGGGCTCCGTCGCAGTCTCAGTCTCAGTCTCGGTCTCAGTGTCAAAGTCGAGGTTGGCGTCGCGTTGGCGAGGCTTTGAAGAGGCAGGCGGCAATAGAAAATTACACAGCATTCAAAACTTTGCTCAAATTTCGGCACAAACTTTTTAAATTATTTGAGCTCTTTTAGAGGAAAAACGACAACAAGAACGACGCTGCCACTCAATGATTGACAACTAGACAGAGTCGTTGATGGCAAAATGACAGAGGCAAACTTTTACTGCCCGCATTGGCGCTGACGTCTATGCCGATGTCGACGTCAACGTCAGCGTCAGCGTCGGCGTAGGCGTCAACGTCGACGCCTGTTGATTGACAAGCAGCCGTCAAGCATTTGGCAGCAGCACGTCGGCTTCTGAATGTGAATTGCCAGCCTGGCCTAGTGGCGTTAGCTGGTTGAGCTGGTTTGGCTGATGAAGTGCCGTAACCGGACGCCACTAAGTAGCGTCGACAAGGCACGTCAACATCGCAGGGTGTGTGTGATAAATGACATGTTCACAAGCACTTGAATGATCCGCTATGATGACGATGATAATAACATCAACAGGGATCATATCAATTTATGTGCGATGACCGAGACATTTTCGTTACGCCATCAGCCAATACTAATGGCAAATTTAATTCGAGCTGAAAAGGTAATAATTACCGCCCTGCATAAACTTTCGGCTTTGAACAGCTTGTAGGGCAACATTTTGGGTCGCATTATCTATTCAAGCATTCTGTTCCCTGACAAGTGTCTGCTGTTTTCTACCCTTTTGACCTTGCCTTGCCAGCATTGATAATTTAAGAGAGCAGCCAAATAGAAAAATAGAAACTTAATGCAGTGATTTTCATCTTAATTTCATTTTTGTTATTCAATTTAAGCATTCAACAAATTTAAGGAGAACCCAACCCTTGAATACCTACTACTGACACTTTTTTGAGTCAAAAAAGTCTGCTTTTACTCCAGCATAATTTATTTAATATCTGATTTGGCAACTTTTCTGTTAAATCATCTGCGTCTGTTTAAAACATAATAAAATCGTGGCACAACAACCGATTCTTTATTGAACATTGTTAGTTGTCAAAAATGCTTCAATTATGTAGAAAGGCAGCTCTTAATTCAGATGTAAAATATTTATGTGTTTAATGAAAATTAATTAAAACATACGCTATTATACGAAAGCAACAATTGTTCATTTAAAAATTAGCTTCTTTCTGAAAGGCATTCATACTCGTGTTAATTGTGTCGCTCAAACTGTTTTGTGCCAGCTAACAGCTACAATTTATCAACAAATGAAATTACTGATAAATTAATTAAAGCGAAATTCATGATGCCTAGAGCTCCAGGCGGCTTCATGAAAATGCATTTATGGAAAAAAAAACAAATCGAACATGCTGCCGTTTAATGAATTACAAAAAGCTCGCAAATTGAATTTGTTTACTTACACATATCTACATATGTACTGAAATGAATATCGTTAAATGGTTTATGTATATTTGGAACGGTTTTAAATGAAGTTGCCTCTGATTTAAAATACATGTATGTGCAGATTTTGGTAGCTCTTTTCAAGTTTTCACTGAACTTGGGCAATTAGAAATGACTGGGAAAAAAAGTAAGCGTTGCATCTGGCTTAAAAAAACGAACTGGCTTCGTTATTTGCTCAATTATTTGTATTTTTTCAAGCCACCATTAAGAGCAATTCGAAAGCTATTTCGGTACTTGCCGAAATTCTGTAAATGCTCTGTAATTCGCAGGACTATTGAAGCATCAACAAATCCCACATATCCCACAATTGTCTGTTTATTTATATCACATTACACACATCAGCTATCATGGCTGCTTGAAAT